CCGCACTTGGCCAGGAAAGCGCGCGCCTGACGTTGTCGTTGCTCTCGCTCAGCGGGGGCCTGCAGCGGCGGGCAGAAGACCTTGCCCCAGTGGGCCGCCAGCCCAGCACGCAGCTGCTCCGCCGTCTGCGTCTTGACCCCATCAACGAGGAGGGCGCCAAGGTAGCGGCGGGGCGACGGCGCCCACAAGGCCGAGCGGCGCTGAAGCGCCCGCAGCTGTCCTCGGAGCCGACCGCCCGGAGAAGCTTCCAGCCCCCGTCGCAGCTCAGCGCTCGACGCGTCGGCCGCCTTCGTCTGAGCGAGCGTGCGGCGGCGCTTGAACTCGGAGGCGCTCGTGAGCCGCGCGCCCGCGATCTCGTCAATGACCATCATCTCGCTCAGCCATGTGTCTCTCCAACAGAAGCGTGCCCATCCTGCGGCCACGACGGGCTAGGGCTCGAGCAGCCTGCCCATCAATCATGGCGACCGCGCTCTTGGACCAGGAGACATGGCGGAGCAACAGGTCACGCACCTCGCGGGAAGCAGATGGCAGGATGCGGGTGCACGCGCGGTAGCGGATGTCCGCCGACGTCTCCTCCAACTGGCACGCCTGCATGCACAGCTCGACCCTCCACCTGAGGCTCTCGCGCTGGGCGATGTGGGCCGCAATCGGGGCTGGCTTGTCGCGGGGGCGAGCCGTCGTGGGCCGTGCGCGCCAAGTGACCCAGAACGGCGCGCGGTCGCTGATGTTCTGTCGGTGGAGTTCTTCAGGTTCACCGCGCACCTCCGCCATCTGCACCGACTGACCAAGAAGCCAGGGCGGCCACCCCAAGAAGATCTCGTCGATCCTGGAGGCGCGCCGACGAGCGGGGTGCCAGTAGGTGGCCCGCGGGGCGACCATCTCAGTGGCGCCACGAAGCCTCTGGGCCCATCGCCTCTCCTGGAGGCGCGTAGCGCGGGCGACGGCGTGCTCTGGGAACTCGAAGTTCTGATGCCCCAGGTGGTCGCCGAAGTTGAAGTCGCCTGAGACCACGGCAACGCGCCCATCAGGTCAATGGGCAGCCCAAAGGAGATCACCTCGAATACTGTCTTGAATGTGTCTTGCGACCGCGGCTGGAATGTCGAAGTTGCGCACATTCCAATGAACAAAAACTGCGCGGCCTCGCTGCTCACGTACATCCTCATAGTAGGCCGCAGCAACGCGCATAATCCTACCTGGGACAATCTCTTCATCTTGCCATAGAACTTCGCCAGGTCCTGTAAAACTGGGGAAGAGCGTGGCCACTCCACCAGAGCCTTCACGTTCACCTGGAGCGAACGAGGTAAAAAGTTGTGCCCGGACTCCCGCTTTCTTGAGGAGGTCACGCAGGCTGCAGTACCATGCCATTCTGCCAAAACTTGCGGAGCAACGTCATCCGCCTCATGCCCGCGGGTGCTTTGTGGTGGCAGAGTGCACGGCAGTTCCAGGCGCCCATCCCCAGGGCTCCTGCGCGCCCCCAAACTCGAGCAAATGTGCTAAAGTACCCACTCTTGAGCTTATGGCTCCACAAGCGGCCGCACGGCGTCGTTGAGCCTCGCACGGTTGAGACCCACGCGGTGAGGAACCGGCGCCAGTTGAGCGAGAGCGTGGCCCCGGAGCGGCGCGGGCCGATGGGGTTGCCGAAGATCCGCTGGCCGACCACGGGCTCCACCATCGCGCGCATCTTCTTCGCCGTGATCCCCAAAGCAACTTGACGCCCGTTCTTGTCCACCGAGAGGAAGCTCTGGGCAGACCCTCCCGCGGGGAGCTTCGCCGAGAGCTCCCTCCAGGACAAGTCCCTAACCTGGCCGATCCGGATGCAGCCCAGCAGCTTGCGGACCCTCTGCTCAGCCAGCCTCGCGTTTCCCTCCAAGCGCATGAAGAATTTGGTGCCCATCTCCTCCCCCTCGAATTTGTATTTACCTGCGAGCTCCGCTGGCGTGACCACCTGTCGCAACGCTCCCTCCAGCGCGCCGATGGGGATCGGGACCATGGACGCGATGACGACCACTGCGCGATCGATGTCGCGCGACCAGGATGGACCAGGCGACGGGGGCAGGGACCGCACCTCCTCCATGATGCCGAGGATGCGGCCCATGCGCTGCATCTCCGCCTCCAGCCTCGACGCGGCGTCGGCGACCTCCTTCTGTGCTCGAACCATCTCGGCGCGGTACTCTTCCACATCTGCTCGAAGTTCAAAACGTCGTTGCTCCTGCGCACGTACACTGGACTTGACCTCCTCAACCTGAGCCGCCAGCGCCGTTAGCACCTGGCCCATGCCGTTGGACAGGATGGAGCCCAGCGCGGCGCCCTGCCTATCCAGCGCCGACTGCAGCTCTGCGCGCAGCGAGTCCACGAGCGCCGCAGGCGTCGGCTGGGCCCGCTGCGTGGCAGGCAGGGCATCTCCTCCGCCAGGGGTGGCTGGAGGCGACTGGGCGGGCATCTGCGAGGCGTCGCCGAACCGTGATGCAGCGTCAGCCCAGAGGTCGTGGGGTCCAGCAGTTCGCCCGACATGAGCTCCTTCACCGCTCGTACTCATGGTAGGAGCAGCAGCAGCAGCACCATCCCCCTGCGACGGGAAGGTCGGTGCGGCCTCGATTTCTCTTGCGAGCTGGCTCGGGGCGATGCCTCGCACGCGCACAGCCTCCAAGGCCCTGTGCCAGTCTGACGCCACCTGAGGCGGGCGACCAGCGCGCGCATGCCCATCTTCAGCTCCACGATGCCGTCCGTCTTCTCGAGGCCGCGCGGCACGGCGGGGGGCGGCGGCCGCAGCATCGCCAGCAGCCACGTCGCGATGCTCACGACGGCGACGGCCACGGCGGCGCCCACCACTGCCGCCGCTGCGGCTGGCAGAGCGAGCAGACGCAACAGGCGTGGTGCTCGCGGAGCGTGCCGACTGCCCAGCACTCTCCTCCTCCATGGCGGCTGCACTGGGGCTCGCGACCCCTCTCCTCCAGGCCTTGGAGGGAGGACCCCTGAAAGAACTGGGCGGGACACATGAGAGACTGGGCTGGAGAGTGGTTTCAAAGCGGAACCTCCCTCGCGCGCAGAGGTCGCCCCGAGAGACTTGCGGTCGTCGGGACGGTTCATTACCTTGAGCCAAAATGGCTACGGAAAACAAGAGGAGGGGGAGGAGGAGGAGGAAGGAGGAGAAGGAGGCGGAGGAGGAGGAGGAGGGAGGAGGAAGAGGAGGACGAGAGTAAACCCAAGATTCATCAAAGACATTGCACAGAACCCTCCCGCCAAGTTCCCTTTTCATAGGCCCCTACAAGAATTCATTCGCACTGAGGGAAATGCCCCGCTGGAAGACAACCTCTTGAAAATCTGAAAAATGTGCCAGAGCAACATTCCTGGGACTTCAACCTCGCGCATCACCGTTGACCTTGCCTTTACAACGGTCCTGAATCATGCCAGAACACCATTCCTGGGACCGCAACACCGCGGATGAACGTGACTGTTGCGCCATGAAACTCCGGCATCGTGCCAACACACAAATTCTGGGACGCTGGCCGTGAAAATCTGTGAAACTGCTGCAAACTCTGAAGACGAATGTGCGCGGCGCTGGGGCGAGAGCCACGCTTCGAAAGCGGGCCGCCCTCTACCCGTGGAACTCCTGCAAAGTTTTACAGCGAATGCACGCAGCGCTGAGGCGAGAGCTGCATGTTGAAAGCGGGCCGCCCTCCACCCGTGAAACTCTTGTAAGCATCTCAAAACAAATTTGCGCGGCGCTGGGGAGAGAGCCACATTTTGAAAGCTGTGCGCGGCGCTCAAACGAGTAACGATAGCCACATGTTGAAAGCGGACCGCCATCCATCTGTGAGACCGCTGAGAAAGCTTCAAGCTTCAGGGTCATAAATGGTGAGGAAATCTCAAGCGAATCGTCCGGCCCGCCCTTTTGACCAGCCTCGGGGTGCGACAGTGAGGAGTTATTTATAAGGAAGAGGGATGGAGGAGGAGGAGAAAGCGAAGACGGAGTGAGATGAGGAAGAAGAGTACGCAGGACAAGAATTGTCCTTCCTGGCAGCACCTCCCTGACCAGGCTACGCCCCATGAGTGCACAGGAGTGGAATAAGACCTGTTCATCTTGCCATAATCATCATCATCATCATCATCATCATCATCATCAGCAGCAGCAGCAGCAGCAGCAGCATCATTATCAGCGACTGCAGCAGCATTATCACCCTCCTCGACCTCATTATCATCCCCCTCCTCCTCCTCCTCCTCCTCCTCCTTCTCCTCCTCCTGGTCCTAATCACCATCATCACCATCACCATCACCATCGTCATCAGCATCCGCATCCTCATCCAGATCATCGTCATCATCATCACATCATCATCATCATCAGCATCAGCACCACCATCGTCATCGTCATCATCATCAGCATCATCAGCAGCAGCATCAGTATCGTCGTCATCATCATCCTCATCACCGCCATCATCAACATCAATATCACAATCACCACCACCAACATCAACATCATCGAGGAGAGATAAGAAGTGAGGAGGATGTTTGCCCGTGTTGGAGGGGCTGCAGGACGACCAAGTGGACCCCAGGAGATTATGGGGGCATCTACAATTCCTTGCCATCCTCCCCCTGCCGCTCCTCCTCCTCCTCATCCTCCTCATCATCATCATCAGAATCATCATCATCAGCATCATCATATGCCATCTCGTTCTCCTCGCTCCTCCATCTCCTTCTCACCGTCAGCATCATCATCATCAGCATCATCATGGTAGTCATCATCAGCGTCATCAGCATACTCATCGACATCATCATCATCATCATCATCATCATCAGCAGCAGCAGCAGCAGCATCAGCATCATCATCAGCAGCATCATGATCATCAGCATTATCAGCATCATCGTCTTCATCACCATCCATGCATCCATCCATCCCCTCACCCTCACCATAACCACAACCGCCAACATCAGCAGCAGCAGCTCCAACGTCAAGATATTCACACCGAACGCTCCTCCTCCTCCTCCTCTTCGGCAACTGTGACCTCCAGCTGGGAGTTCTTTTTCTGGTACTCCTGCAGCTCGATCATCGACCTCCTGAGCGCGTCTGCCTGACACCGTGGAGAGAGTTACAAGATGATGCGTCTGCTCTTGCTGCTTCTCGTCACTATCATCCCACGTTGTAGTGCTGATACGTCGGTTATAGCCCTACGCCTACAATTCCTTCAAACTCACCCGCCCCCCCAACACATCTCTTCCACCCCAGCACTGCTGCCGACATCACCACCATGGTCGTCAACCAATCATCACCATCAGTAGTTGAATCACCATCATCATGACAATCAGCATTAGCATCATCACCATCAGCGCCAAGACCCTCATCATCATCATCATCATCATCATCATCATCATCATCATCATCACCATCATCATCAACAACAGCATCATCAGCATCATCACCATCATCATCAGCATAATCAACATCATCATCAGCGTCATCACCAAAATCAGCATCATCAGCATCATCATCGTCGTCATTATCATCAGCAGCAGCATCATAATCATCAGCATCAGCATCATCAGCTTCATCATCCTCATCATCATCATCAGCAGCAGCAGCATCATCGACACCATCAGCATCGTGAACAGCATCATCAGCAGCAACATCAGCGCCATCAGCGCCATGCTCCTCATCATCATCATCATCATCAACAGCGTCATGATCATCAGCATCAGCATCATCACCATCGTCATCAGCATCAGCATCATCGTCAGCAGCCTCATCAGCATAAGCAGTACCATCGTCATCATCGTCATCATCATCATCATCATCATCATCATCATAATCAGCTTCATCATCATCATCACCACCAGCATCAGCATCATCAGCAGCAGCAGCTGCAGCCGCATCGTCAGCATCATCATCATCATCATCATCATCATCATCATCATCGTCATCATCATCATCATCATTATCATCAGCATCATCATCCTTATCCTCATCATCATCATCAGCATCGTCATCCTCATCATCCTCATCATCATCAGCATCGTTATCAGCATCATCATCAGCAGCAGCATCCTCATCCTCATCATCAACAGTATTCGAACATCATCATCATCAGCAGCAGCATCACCATCATCATCGGCATCATCATCCTCATCGTCATCAGCAGCATCGTCATCAGCAGCATCGTCATCATCATCTCAATCACCAACATCATCGTCACCACACCATGATCGTCATCATCATCTCCATCATCATCATCATCATCATCAGCAGCAGCATCATCAGCATCGTCAGCATCTTCATCGTCATCATCATCGTCATCGTCATCGTCGCCGCCCTCATCATCAGCAGCATCGACAGCATCAGCAGCATCAGCAGCATGATTATCTTATTCGGTATCCTCAGCAGCAGCACAATCATTGCTAATGCATCTTTCATCGAATCCAGCCTCGTCGTGATCGGCGTAGGTTTCCCCGTTGAAGGTAGCTGGTTGCATCTCATCGCGGATCGACTCGTAATACAAAAACATACACTCCCAGTCAGAAAGGGACAAGAATCGCGTTCAGCACTCTGCTGTCAGTTATCCCTGCTCCAACCGCTGATTCATGCATCCTGCCTCCTCATCCTCTAATGGGAGTCGTCTCACCTTGATGTTGGATGTCGTTGTGTCGGCTCCATGGCAGTGCGGCCGCCATCCGATACACGGATGGAGGGCCATCCGGGGTTATGTGGTTACAGCGTACGTTTCGCGCATTCTCGTCTCAAAACATTCCAGCAGCTGCACGAATGGAGGACGGTTCCGTTTCAAAATGGGGCTCTCGGTTGAGACCTCCTCCTTCTGTACGACGAGGTGTCTAAAACATTGCCGCAGGTGTACCTATTGAGTGCGGCTCCTTTTCAACAGTGGACTACCGCTTGAGAACCCCTTGAACACAATGAGCTGCAATGCAAAATTGTACAGCTGCTTTACGGATGGAGACAGATCTTCTCCGAAACGGGGCGCTCACAGAATACGTCACTGCATGTGTTGATCCTACCTTGTGGCGGTTCTTGCAGCTAGAAGCATAGAGGCCGGCTCCTTTTCATGATGGTATAACCGCCTGAAGGAAAAGTGCATGGAGCGATCGTCGTTCAAGAGGTCGCGACTCGCAGTGAAGAAGCATGCGTTAAGGAGCTCACGAGGATGGGACTTGGGACGGGAAGGTGTACTGCAGCATCGTTTATGCATCCTAGATTTACTCTGGCCCAAATACTCCTCCATCAAAAAATGCCCCTGGACATCTCCCGAGGTGCGTTCTGACTACAAAATCAGCGGACCCAGCCGTGGCGACGAGGAGCCCCCAGGAAGCTCAAAGATTGCATTAAAGCCCGAACATCTCGAAATTCGAAGTTCAAACCTCTTAAGGTCGGATCCCGAACATCCTCCACATATGGCTCCTCCGCCTCATCTTCTTATTCTTCAAGATCATCATCCTACCTTCGCCAGACCTCGCCAGCATCCTCGTCACCATCACCACCGCCACCATCATCCTCACCATCCGAATCATCGTAATCATCTGAATCACCGTCAGCAGCAGCATAATCGTCGTTGTGGTCGTCGCCGTCGTCGATGCCGTCGTCCTCTCTCTCTCCCACCCACCCCCAGTTTCCCCGCTCCCTGCCAGCTGCTTGCGACCGCCTGCAGGCGACTGGGGTGGGGTAGAGAGTTAGATGTGGCCCTCCTTCTGGGGGAATCGCCCTCCCCCACCCACCAACCAACCCACCCACCCACCCACCCACACTGCTCGCTTCGCAGTACAGGAGGACTTCCTGCAGGCGGAGGAAGGGGGGAGGGGGGGGGGGAACTCCGCTGTTCTGCTATCTGGATCCCCACATGTTTCGTGGGATTCTGGTGTAATATCACATGCTTCGTGGGGTTATGGCTTGCTTCCCTCCCGCGCCTCACCCGCGAAGCTCACACCTCACCTCCTTCTCCCTCCCCTTCCACACACACACAGACACAGACACAGACACATATATATATATATATATATATATATATATATATACATATACATATATATATATACATGTATACATATATATACATACATACATACATACATACATGCATGCATGCATGCATGCATGCATGCATACAGACAGACAGACAGACAGACAGACAGACAGACAGACAGACAGACAGACAGACAGACAGACAGACAGACACACAGGCATACATACAAACAACACACAGACAGGCAGACAGACAGACAGACAGGCAAACAGACAGACAGGCAGCCAGACAGACAGACAGACAGACACACCCACACACAGACACTGACTAACACACAGACACACACGCTCAGACACACAGGCAGGCACAAGCACACAGACACACTGACACAGACACAGACGCAGCCACAGCCACAGACACAGACACAGACGTCACACAGGCGGCACTTCCTCGACACCACAACGGGGTGCGCTGGGGGGGTTGCCCTATCAAGGGCGGGCTCGCAAAAGCGTGGCACGCGTGGCACCTCCTCGACACCACAAGGGGGTGCGGGGGGGGGGGTCCCCCTATCCGCTGCGGGCTCGCAGAGCGTGGCAGACTTGGCACGTCCTCGACACCACAGGGGGTGCGCTGGGGGAGGGTCCCCCATCCGCTGCGGTCTCGCAAAGCGTGGCAAGAGTGGCACTTCCTCGACACCACAAGGGGTGCGTTGGGGGTGGTCCCCCATATCCGTTGCGGGCTCGCGAAGCGTGGCAGGCGTGGCACTTCCTCGGCACTACAGGGGGTGCGCTGGGGGTGGGAGTGCTATCCGACTCGGGCTCGCAAGGAGCAGCAGGAGTGGCATTTTCTCGACACCACAAGGCGGAGTGGGACGGAGGAAGGATGTACAAGGGAGGACGGAAAGAGGGTAGAGGTTCACGTAATGCCGCGTTGTGAATGTTTGGGTCCTACTTAGAGGATGACAAGATGACGAGCATTCTGACAGAATGTATAATAACAAAAACGTGGTGTGCTACGACCGCATCCGGCAACCGTGTTGGGCTGCCACGGCGTGGCAAACATTGCCGACGGTATCGACAGGGCAGAAACTAGCAGCAGCATCCACATATGTTGCACGTCAGCTATGCGAACACAAGAATGAAAACAAAGTATGCGGAGTTCTTCGGTAGCGTGATCTTCCCTCCCGCGTCCCACCCACGAAGCTCACATCTCACCTCCTCTCCTCTCCTCCCCACATCCTCCTTCCCCGCAACCCGCGCGCAAAACATCGCAACAAATGCACGCCATGTACATGAGACACGTGCCTACATACAGCCGCACGCATGCACACAATCGCAGACGCACCATACAACGCCAGTGCACGCTTGCGCAGGGGGTGGCCCCAGCGAAGTCTCTATGCGCTGCAGGCTCGCAAAAGGGTGGCAGGCGTGGCAATTTTGTTGCACCACAGGGGGTGCGCAGCGGAAGGTCCCTCAACGATGTCTCTATGCGCTGCAGGCTCGCAAGGCGTGACAGGCGGAGTGCTTTCTTGACACCAGTGGGGGTGCGCAAGGAGTGGTCCCTCAACGCCGCCCCTATGCGTGGCAGGCGTGGTACTTTCTCGGCACCACAACGGGGGACGCAGGGGGTGGTCCCGCAGCGCTGTCTCTACGCGTTGCAGTCTCGCAAGGCGTGGCAGGCGGAGTGTATTTTCGACACCACAAGGGGGTGTGCAAGGAGTGGTCCCTCAGCGCTGCCTCTATGCGTTGGCAAAGCGTGGCGGGCGTGGCACTTCCTCAGCACCACAAGGGTGCGCAGGGGGTGGTCCCTGAGCACTGCTTCTATGCGCTGCAGGCTCGCAAGGCGTGGCAGACGTGGCACTTTCTCGACACCACAGAGGGGTGCGCAGGGGGTGGTCCCTGAGCGCTGCCTCTATCCGCTGCGGCCTCGAAAGGCGCGACAGGCGCGGCACTTTCTCGGCACCACACGGGGTGCGCAAGGGATGGCGCTCAACGCTGTCTCTATGCGTTGCAGCCTCGCAAAAGGATGGCAGGCGTGGCATTTCTTTGCACCACATGGGGTGCGCAGAAGGTGGTCCCTCAACGCTGCCTCTATGCGCTGCAGGC